GAAGACAATAAATGCCACTATGTACAACAAGGATGTTCCTCTGTGTTATGAGGCTTAAATAGCAGCAAAGGAAGTTCACTGGTTCTTATCTCAGCCCACCCAGATAAAGGTGGCTTTGGAAGGACATAAATCACAATGTATATAGATGCCAGTGCAAGTCAAGGATTGATATTTATTCCACAAATACTTATGAAGAGCCTAAAATTGGAAAACATGACCTTCTAATGTAGGAAGCCAGTATCGAGAAAAAAAAAAAAAAAAAAAAAGGAAGAAGAATTCTGTATTCCATCTGGGAAAAGAGAAATAGATGATGACGGAGGTCACATAAATATAAAATTTGCTGAAGACTCTATGGAGCAAATTATAAATTTAAAAAATGAAACGTGGTTTTTAAAGTTCAATCTCAATATATGTTTATCTATAATTAGGAATTTTATGTAAGAAATAAAATGCCTTTGGAATGAGAATATAATTTTGCTAATAAGAAATGGATGCATGCATAAAGACAGAAATGTTCATTCGAAGTAATGGCTCAAGATCGAGACTTTAATGAAGAAAACTGAAGACATATTAACTAATAACAACTCATTGCAAACGTGTTTTAGCCAGGTAGGTAGACTGACAATGCCCATTAATTATATCATTGCGTTAATGATGTTGATAAAAACGTGGTCTTGAGAATGACCTGAGCATATGAGATACTTCATTTAATAGTGATTAGAAATAACACTGAATTTAGGACTTAAAAAGTGTATATAATTTCACATTTTTAAAAAATAACATTAACTGTAAAACTCTCTAGCTTTTCGGTACATAGGCAAACAGGTGAGTATGGTAATATGTGTACTCCAAATTTTAGAATCTTATACCAAGAAAAGAACTATAGAAATGACTCCATAGACTGTAACTATAAAAAAGCAATATATAGAAAGAAACAATACGTATCCTGTAAGCATGTATAATAGAGATAATATTTATCATGAAGAAAAGCATTTGAAACTGAAGAAATCAAGGTGATTTCTATATAGATCTTCTATATTTTGGCATTTTACACATTAAAAAGAAAAGAAAAGGTAGTCAATAATTCACGTACGCAGCATTTGTATGTGTGTGTGTGTGTGTGTGTGTGTGTGTGTGTGAGAATACACAGTAATTTCGATGAATCATTTAATAAATTCATGTCATATTACTCTAAGGAAAGTAAAATCTCATATTTAAAGTTATATACAAGATGAACACAAGAAAATATTTAATAAGGTATTTAATAATAAAGATACTATATAGTGATTTATTGGAACAAGTTTTTGCATTGAGGAGAGTTTCAGTACAAGCTGAGTGAATAAATGTAGGGACTATTAAAAAACAACTTATACTACGTAGAGTGTTGGAAAAAAAGACCCTCAGTCCCTCTCCTACCTAAATTATTTTGATACCCAATACTTCCTGGAAAATTCCTTTCAGTCCTACATTACCTAACTACTCATGTTAGCTGCTAAGAATATCCCCTACAATGTTCCCACTTAATTAAAATGCTTCAATAATTATATACATCTGGGTAATTATTGAATTCTAAGGTGCAACTTCCATAATTTCACTTATGTTCACTTTCTTTGTCTAGCTAGTGAAAATATCTAATAGCATTTTGACATAGATGGATGTCAGCAATTTTGGCTTAGCCACCTAGGATTCAAATAAAAACTTCATGGCTGTGTCAATTTGCAATTTTCAAATATAGAGGTAATGTACTTTGTATGAGAATTGAACCCAGGAATGAATTCTGCCTCAATACAAAGCCTGATAAAAAGACTAGTCCATTTATATTGAACCATACAGACATTGTACCATATCAACAAAATAGCAGCAGCAACAAATATTAAATAATTGGGTTATACCAATCATGGCAAAATGAAATTCCAAAATCTCCCTCTTCAACTCATGCCTACATTTATCGAATAGCATAGTCAGGAAATTATTGTTTATATCTGTATCTGTCTATCACCCTGTAGTATGAACTCATTTCCTTTTTCATGGTATTCTGAGATAGGTATCTCAATAAGCAGGATGATTTTATTTTGCACAAAATGAGAAACAGGAGTTAATAAGGTCATATCAGCCATACAGATCATGTACAATCATACTCATAATGAAGGATTCCAGGCAGTATCAGAAAATAGGTTGGCAGCTATCCTTGCTGTGCTGAAAACACAATATTTTGATAACAATAACATGCCCAATTTGCTCAAATAAAAGATGTTAATAGCCACATATTCGCAAGTATGGAAGGCAACAGTTATAATAAAAGTGCGATATATTTTGTGTAGATCAATAACACTCCTCAAACAATTTGCACATTATTGCTGCTTCTTGCTTTAAAAAAAAAGTATGGTAACTAGTCTTTGGTATTCACTGTGGAGACAGATACAAATATAATGTGCTAGTAAAACCATAAAATTGATTTTTTTACTGCTCCAAGGTAGGAGGAATACAAATTATTTCATATATTTCAAGTATACACAACTTAATTTGCAATGTTCAGCACTGCAATAATCTGCATCTATTTAAATAATTCTGGATTTCTCTGAACAATTCTGAATAAATTCATTGGGATAGAATGTTACTTTACAACCACTATATTGATACAACCATTAGAGTTTCATCTGTCCATTAACAGCAGCTATGTACAAACGGCTTACATAGCTGGAGGAAGGACAATTTTCTTTTTTATTATAAAAAAAAAAGAAAAGCAAACTCTGATGACTTTTTTGAAACACAGGCTCAATGCATAGCTCAGGATGCCTTTAAATTCACAGCCAGCCTCTGCCTTCGCTTCTCTAGGGTTGGGGTTATACATGTGTGCTACCATACCTGGCCTCAAAATTGTGATTTTTTTAAAGGAGGGAGAGAGAGAGAGAGAGAGAGAGAGAGAGAGAGAGAGAGAGAGAGAGAGAGAGAGAGAGAGAGAGAGACAGAGACAGAGACAGGCAGAGGCAGAGGCAGAGGCAGAGAGAGACAGAAAGAGAAGAAACAGAATCAGAGAAGTGCTACAATCTTTTACCAAGGTTCTTATGGAACAACCCCTTTTTATTATCATCAAGGCTATGCTTCCATTTGCATTTTGCCAGATGAAGTTAAATTTAGAGGTCCATGTGTGCCAGGCACATAGAGGTCTCTGGGAATCTGGAAGACATAGGTGGGTTTCAATTACTTTCCATGAGTCATTTAGTTGGTCCTCACATCAGCGTGAGTCAAGATGTTGGGAATGTGATGAATGAAGGAATAATATGTGGTTAGTATATCCTTCTGATTAATTTAAATATACTCCGTAAACTCATGTGGAGTGAATCTGAAAATTTCTGGTTTGTGGTCCCTCTATAGAACTAAACCTTTCTGGGTTGAGAAAGGTTTTATATTTTTAAAGCTTTCGTCATATGTCTTTGAATAGAAGAAATACACTTGATGAAAATTTAAGATCCAGGGAAGTCTATTTCTTTTAAAATGTTATTTTCTAGTGAAGCAAAATGAGATTGAAAAATTTATGCTCAGCATCCAAGAGTTTTAGTGAAGTGAATTACTAGTGCAGTTAGTCGCTGAGCTTGGATTAACAGGCTCACCAGAGGGAAAGTTAGTGATATTTGCGTCAAATATTCCCAAATCAGAGGAAAACCTGAGCCAAAGCAGTGGTCCACAAATTTTATCAGAACATTTCACCAGAAGTGATTCATTTCCCAGCCCTGCCCTGTGTCTCACAGGCTCAGCTGCCAGGGTCCATGGCTCTAAACATGTATCCATCTGTAGAACACAATTATTATTTTTTTCCTAATTTGGAGGACATATTGGCTCCTATCCATCTTTTCTTTGTATTTTGTAAGATTACCCTCAAAATTTGCACTTTAGTAGTAAAAAAATAATCAGTCCTCAGTTTATTTATTTATTTTTTTTTCATGAGCATGTGCTATTCAACATGGTCTCCACGGCTACAGGATTTGTCTGGAAGGGCAGGCCCTCTGCCTTCCAAAACTCTTTATGAAGGAAATATATGTGTTCACCTTCACTATGGTAAGATGCTGGGCTCATTTTCTCTTTTTCAGTTATGTTTCAAGTTAGAATTCGGTATTGGCAAAATCAGAAAGTTCATACTCAATCAATACTTAGAAAAGGTGTAAAAACTAGCCCACTATAGGAATCCCAATGAGGCTAAACAATCTGCTTTAGTCTCATGCTTGAGGCTGCAGAGAGTAACACAGAAGACTCACAGTGTTCTCAGAAAGCATGAGATACCTGCTGACCTGTGACCCTACCAGAGCTCTCTAGGTAAGTACTGAGCCAGAAAATGCAAAGGAGCTAAAGCAGAATTTGCTAAAGCAAAGAATTTTTCCAGCTAAGCCAGCCTCATAGATTCATCATAAACATTCAAAACACTGAAGTCAAATTCATCACTGAATTAGAAAATCATTGATTTCATATGTGGTTTACTTTTTGTTTACCAAGTATATGTTCTGAAAGAAGGTGGTCACCATTGGGTGGCATTATAAATAAGGTCTAAAATGCCCAGGATGAAATTGCAGAATTTAGATTCCATCACATAGCATGTTACTAGAAAGCAAAACTAGAGAACTATAGAAGTATGTTCTCCACATGGAACAATTTAATAGCGGCTATGTTTCATAACATCATGGTAAAATATCTCTTAAATTATTTGTTTCTTCAATTTTTGGACACAGTGAGTTACATACTTACAACTTAAATAATTTCTGAGATTCAAATTAATCAATGTATTGTGTCATAATCCAAGTTTTCCATTCTTAAGTGACAGGAAGTAATTTCACATGTGTATCATCACTAGACATATTAAATGCATATAAAATGTAATGATTCTTGAAATTTCAAGACACATACTTGTAAACCTTGAGATGAATAACTTTCAATTAAAGTAATACAAGCTGCAGTGTTGGATGGTCTTTGAACTAAAGTAATAGATGTAAAATCATAGTGGTACTTACCACAGTGAAATTCATAACTTTCAATATCCATATTGTCATGGCTAAGTTAACTATCATGGTAACCAACAGCAGAAGGACAAAGAAGTATAAGCACCTCTTTCGCCATCCATAAATCCCCACTGGGTACAGCTGTGCAGTTTCCGTTCTCGGCAGGTGGTTCTGTTGTGTTGCTAAAATATACTGTTCTCTTGTCATCTGCAGGGAGAGTGAGGGGGAGAAGAAGGAAGGAGAGAGCAGTGGAGGGAGGGACGGTGGAAAGAAGGAAACGGAAGAAAAGGACAGAGAAAGAAAAGAGAGGGAGAGGGAAGGAAGGATAGAAAGAAGGTAAAAAAGATAAAATGAAAGAGATAAAGAAAAAGAAAGAAAAGAAAGAAAGAAAGAAAGAGAAAGAAAGAAAGAAAGAAAGAAAAGAAAGGAATAGGGAAAGAAAAAATAGAAGGAAATAAAGGAAAGGAGTAGAGAAAGAGGGAAGGGAAAGGGAAGAAAAATAAGTGGAGGAAGGAAGGGAGAGAGAGAGAGAGAGATTAAACGATAAAATCCACACTTCTTGTGTAAGTCAAAAAAAGTAAGGGCCTAAGCTTAATGGGCAGTGAGTGCTCCCATAATTATTGTTGGGTAAGAAAAATTTTCAAGCACTCTCACTTCATTGTCATCCATGCTGTTCATGAAAGCTGTCAGAGTTACATCCTCAAGCACACATTATTTACAGGCGGCTTCCCATCCAACAGGAGACTGACCTCCCCGCTCCACAGCAAGATATCTAAAATTCAACAGTTGCACCCACGTCAAAGTTTTAGAAAACCTGAGATCAAATGCATCACAAATTTTTCTGTACCTCTCTCTGAAAAGATAAAAGACACACTTCTGAGTATGTGTTTCAATAAAAAGTGTATTTTCAAGAACCTATGAAAACAAAAATATTCTTTTATCTAGACATATACATATAAGTATCCTATTAAAATTTTATTCAGCAATCTTGAATTATTTTACAAAAGTGAGAGTACATGTCTCAGAAATGAAGTGCAAGCTTGGTCTCTGATATAAAACACACACAACTACCAAAAAAAAAAAAATCCAGGATAAACATTGCTGTTATTTTGATAAAGCAAAAAAGATTCAGTATATATATCTGCCTGTAACTGTTATGAAAAGCAAATGGGATAATAAAAAAAGTTATCAGGAAAGTAAACATTGTTATTCAATTGAGGCTTTTTGTATTTTCTCAAGGAATCCTACAGTTTTTTTTTAAATAAAAGATAAGTTCAGCATTATTACTCTATATATGTTCTTTATCACAAAATACTGTAGAATATTCAAGGTGTTAAAAGACAATATTATTAAAGTTTTCTTTTAAAAATCTCTTTTTCATTTATTTATTTTTTAAGTTTTATGATTTTTAGTATACGTTTGCAATACAGAATGATTATAGTCATCATGGAGAGCTGCACATGTACATAAGGCATCTTAATTCATTTTATGTCCCGTTTCTCTCCCTGATCCTACTGTTTTCCAAGTTCATATAAGATTTCAGGGACTACCTCGGTGCAGTAGTGTTAGAGGAAGTAAAGCATATTACATAAGTCTAAATGACTAAGCGAATTATTCTTGTTTTGAAATGTTTACAATCTTTGCCTAAAATATTAAATGTTGATCCATTTTTACATTATTAACCAAATTCTGAAAAACTTGGTTTATTTTGCACTATGTAAATTATGGAATTTAATTATGGATCAAATTGTTTCAATAAATGTTTATGGTCATTATAAAGAGTTTACCAAATGTGCAGCTACACAGATATAAGTTGAGTGTGTCTTATCTAAAGGTCTGGCAGTTGACGTTTTAGATTTCAGACTTTTTTATTTTTAATACACACAATGAGATATCTTGGGAATAGGACTCGGGTTTAACCATAATCTTTATTTACTTTCCCTTTGCATATAGCCTGAAGTGAATCTTGTACAATATGCCTGCATTTTTAATCTATCACAGGTAACCAGGTATCATATTGGCAGTCAAAAATTTTGGATTTTAGAGCATTTAGAACTTCAGATTTTTGGATTAAGGATTTTTTCGGAAGGGAAATGTACATTTCCTTTAATATAAGAATCACAGGCAGTTTCCTAAGAGACAATCTCATCACACCAAGATGTATTTCTGTGCCCTCCTGCTTTTCTAATTGCATCTGTAATCATATGTTGTCAGAGTTCTTTGGAATTATGTTTTCAGGGTTATAAACACTCATACTAGATACTTAAACTAATTAGAACCTCTTTCATTTTGGTTCTGTCATTCTATTTCATATTAGGTTTCACATCTACCAAATATTCATTAGAATGGAGTACCTTCAAAAACGCAGTCTTTCTTAGTACACACGGAGCAAGTCATCTATCTATCTCTTGGACAACAAGATCACAACATTGATTACATTAATGTAAATATGCATCTACATAGTGCAGAGAAGAGCTGTGCGGTGTTCCCCCAAGACTCGCGTGGTTTGGGTGGGGAGCTCTGAAGGTGGTAGGATTGGGGTATGTGATGTTGATCTAGGAATGATGTTGAGGTTCAGAGTGTCCCACTCCAGGTGTGGGTGACGACACTCAAAGGGTAGCAGCTTGGACAGAATATAAGAGGAGAAGAAAGAAGGCAGGATGCTGCTTCCTGTATCATCTGTTCACCACTAACTCTTTCTCCACTGGGATGCCCCTCTGTTACGCCACCTTGCATTAATACCAGCCAACTACAAAGTGAAATCTCTACAGACTGTGAGTTACAATAAACTTTCCCTCCTTTAACTTCAGATGTCTGGTATTTTGTCTCGAAAAACAAGCAATGAGAAAAGTAACAGAGATGAGCTGGTTTAAATTCAGACCTTGAACTCACCTTATCAAACAATAAAACAAAACACAAACAAACTAAAACACTATTAGAATCCATGTGAACAGTATTTCCAAGAAGATAGAAACAAGATTAATTAAAAAAAAAAAAAAAAACGCATAGGCAAATAGAGTTTGTGAATTGTTCAACTCTTTTCTCCAAAGATATGGAAAACATATATTTAAAATTTGGTTGTTTTATCCAGTAGGTACAGTCAAATAACATATGAAAATCCAGAAGCAAATGAATTCACCTGGAATGACTTAAACTTGTTTCATTACTAATCATTTAGTGTCCTGGAAATTCTGGCAAGGTCTCCTGAGCTGCACTGAGTAGCAGAGAAATAACTTATGGGGCAGAGACCTTCGCCTCAAAAGAGGCAAAATCCTAAAGATAAGCACCAGAAATACACTAATTATTTCAATTCCAATGGGCATCATGATTATAGTATTTTTGTGTATCGGTATTCAGAACTACAAATAGTAATGGAAATTTGAGCAGCAGTGACTTCATTTAATAAATTTTTTGTGACGAGACAATTATGTCCATAATTACTTCGATTGCTATACTCATGAATTTCCTGTGATGGGAAAACACTATAAGCCCATAGAAAAATAAATAACAGCATATAATATCCTACTCTTAGGAAAATAAATGCAATAATACAACAGGTACATCATACCGTGTGTTGCCTTGGTACATGAATTTAATTTGTTCTACAATTTTGGAAACGATGGTTGGTGTTTGAGTGGGAGAGATGGCTGTGGTTGTTTGTTACCCAATGCAGAGTTTATAAACAAAGACATAATTTTGCCAAATGCTTCTGTTTGAGAAACAAATTGCAAACAAGCGCATTAGTGAACTGAGCTACCACTATTTATGTGATATAGTATTAATGAGAAATGCTACAAAAGATGATAATTTGGTGATAAAATGAAAAATCCATTAAAGATGACAGAAAGAGAATGCTTCTCAAAGTAAGTAGCACCCAAAAAGATAAGAAATTTTGGAGGAAGTTTGGAACATAGGTTTCAAAATTTTGGTATCATCTAAGTAAGAAAGAGATCTTCTAAGCTTTGTATAAAAATTCAATTGTTAAGAATCTGTTATCTCTAGTTTACATTTTAATAATCTCATGATAAGATGAAAAAGAGAAGCTAATTATATTTTGGAAATAGTATAATCAATATCATTTTAATTAAAACACTGTTATTTTTAACATTATCCATATAAAGACAATATTGTGGAGAGGTGTAACTGGAGGCGGGAGAAAACAGCAAATTACTTGTCTATCTCCCACTGATTCTTCAATTTTAAAATATAAATTCAGACCCCAATTTCTGCTTAGATCTGTTGTCCCTGTACAGAATATCCAGATGTAAGTGAGAAGCACATGTCTCCTGGACAGTAAACTGAGTGGTCAGTGAAACTGGTTTTAATTTCAGATTATGAAGCGAGCACTTGGAATGCTGAAGCAGCAATAAGCAACAATTCCATGATGATGAAAATTAAATTCAGTTCCCAAAACTCTTACATTCCTCGTGGGGAGTGCTCATATTTCAGGAGCGGGAAATCATATTGGAGCCTCTGTACGCTAAGCGTTGATCTTATTAGGTGTAACACTACAGTTGTCTGCTGTTGGTTCAGACAGTGAAAGGAACACAAGAGGCTAAATGCAGTGTCCCAGATGTGCATGCTAAACTGCAGCATGGCCCCCCCATGCCCAGTGTCCTGGGGCAAGTCACTTAGCCTCTCTCTGCCCCACTTCCTCCATTCTCCAATAAAAGTTACATCAACTCATATGAGGGCAATTGGGGAAATCAGAAAATAGGTTGTTAAAGTGCAATTTTCATTTAAATCATAAAAATGCTATTTTTAAAATTTATCTGCCACCCTGTAGTTAGCTTATTTTAATGCTGTACAAATATTTTCCCTGAATGAAGTTTAAGAGTAAAATACAAGAGTAAAATACAATTTCAAAACAAAATGATTGAAGTGTCCAAATTATGTGGTGTGAACTTTACACACCAAAAGGCATTTAGATTTCTGCTCTAAGAAAATGAGTCTCTAAACAGCTACTAATTTGGAAAGAAATTGAAAACAGTACAGTAAATTCTACTTACTGTGGCAGTTTAAATTTTTTAAAATCCATAGTACTTAATGTGCAAAGGCATATTTCAACATAACAGTAATGAAAGTTTGCTATTTAAGAAAAATATTCATTTGTTATGGATTATTTATTCCATTAAGTTTTTGGAAAAATGCTGTAGCCAGGTTTGTAACATGGGAAAAGCTTATTATTATTATTTTTTAAGACTGCA